CTCACCTGAGTAGTGCTGGGCTGAGTCTCTCAAGGAATTCTGGAAGGACGGCGAGATATGTGGTGTGGGGAAGGGTGTGATTGAATGCATTTAATAGTCGGCATACTTCGATGATAGGATGTGCCCGCTGCAGTGGCGAGCCCGCATGTCTGTTGGCAGGACTAAACCAAAACAAGCTAGGTTATTTTTTGGTTTTCTTTCTATAGAGGGGGGGGGGGGTTATTACTCAGCGTGCATGCAAGTTTCATTGCCCTCCCCTCCCCAACCCCATACACACACTCTCAATCCCTCTACACTTCAACTAAGATCAAAATTAAACAGGGAACACAACAAAGAAGCGCGGAGAGCCACCATTAGAGGTTGTGTGTACTATGTTGAGCTACAATAAACAACCCAATATCAATATCTATCCTTCTGGTTCTTCCTTTCTTAATGTGGATGTTTTACGCCCCCATCAACATACTTTAGATCATACAGGAGGTGGGCTTCGACTTTGCCCATTGCTGCCAGCCTGTACTAAATGAGAAAGGGACTAGATCTAGCTCTTTTTTCCTTGTTCTTCCGTACCGCCACCTCTTTTTCCTTCTCTTTTCAACAGACGCTAGTGTCACCGTTATTGATTTCTCCTCTCTACCCAGCAACTCAGGATCTCTTTCCGTTTTTGCCTTTCTATCCCCACCTACCTCTTCCAGTGCACCCCCCCCCCCCCCCCCTATCACTCTCCTCCCCCTTCTCCTCCTCCTTTTATTCCTCCTCCTGTTCCCACTGGTAACTACCAAAATGCTGAAAGGAATTATTCTCGGCTAGACTATAATATGAACCACATTCAGCGTCATATCCATACTTAAGTTATGTTTCAGAATATTGGTTTTTGTTTGCTTTCGTTTTGTTTTTTAATGCAGGTGTTTAACATCGACACACTTTCGATTATTTAGGAGGCAGGCTTCGTCCCTGTCCGTTTGGGCCAACCCTGGCTTAGAGGGATACAACGACCAAATAAAAAGACCGAGATACTCGACAATAATTCTCCCCACACGGGAATCGAACTCACATTTCCGGCCCGTGACGGCGAAGCGTCAAACCGCTTCACCACACATGCCAGTTACGTTTCAGTGAAGAGAAGTACACTGACACAGTAACGGTCATTTTGTGCTTTGAAAAAGCGAGACCAGCAAACAACAAAAATGACAAGCGGGACGAAAAGGAAGTAGGACGCACCAGTTGGCCTGTCCAATACGTACACCCCCCCCCCTTTTGTTGTGCTTTTTTCCCCCCAGTTTATTATAGCATACAACTCCTGTCTTTGAGTCTATCACCTACCTTCCTAAGGCAGTAAATGTCCACCATGTGTCCAGTGTGGCTCTATAGCCTTCATGTGTTACTTGTATCTGTCTTCTTTATTTCATATAACAGAAGAAATGAAACGCTAAATGCTCTCTCTCTCTCTCTCTCTCTCTCTCTCACCGTCTCTCTCCCTCTCTCTCTCTCTCGCCGTCTCTCTCTTTCTCTCTCTCACACACACACACACACACACACACACACACTCACACACGCGCGCGCACGCACACCCGCGCGCGCACGCACACACGCACACTGACATACAGATCCAG